TATATATATATTATATATATATATATATAAAGACAGCGATAGAGAGACATAGAGAGACAACAAACAGACAAAGGAGACAGAAAGAAAAACAAACAGAAAAATAAATAAAAATAAACAACAGACAAAGACAGAAGGAGGCAGACAGTAGATAAAAAAATGAGAGACAAACAAACAAAGAGACAAGTAAATAGAGATAGAGGAGTAAGCAGAGAAACAAACAAACAAAGAGAGAAATAAACAAAGGGGAGAGAAACAGAGAAACAAACAGAGACAAACAAACAAACAGATAGACGAACAAACACACAGATAGACAAAAGGAGACAGACAAAGAAACAAAATAACAAAGAAAGCGAAGGAAGAGACAGACAATAAACAAAAAAGAAGAGACAAATAATAAACAAAAAAGAAGAGACAACGAACAAACACGAAATACCCTAAATATATCACGAGGGTTTAAACAAAAGCAGAGGCTTGAGGGCCCCCACACGACAATAATCCAGGGGCCCCTATACGGGGCTAGGGGGCCCCTATACGGGACTAGGGGGCCCCTATAAGGGACTAGGGGGCCCCCATATAAGACTAAGGGGCCCCTGTGGGGCCCCACAGGGCCCCACTGAGGCTTGCATGCGTTGTTGTGGGGCCCGTGGGATCGTCTCCCCTCTATGGGGCCCCTGCTTATCAACAGAGGGGCCCCTAGGGGCCCCCTCCTCTTAACTTAAGGGCTTCTAGGGGCCCCTGCGTGTCAACTGAGGGGCCCCTAGGGGCCCCCCTAATACTAGGGGCCCCCACCTCTCACCATTCGGGCCCCTAGGGGCCCCCGCATATCAACCAAGGGGCCCCTAGGGCCCCTAGGCCGGGGACGCAGGGGCCCCTGTGTTTAAATGGAGGGCCCCTGGGGGCCCCTGTTAATCAAGATAGGGGCCCCCGTTTATTAACGTAAGGGCCCCTCTAATGCAACATAGGGGCCCCCCTAATGCAATAAATATAGGGGCCCCTATTTATCGGGATGGGGGCCCCTGTCTTTCAACAGAGGGGCCCCTGCTGCGGGTGTTGTTGTCTGGAGTGGGAGAAGGTGAAGCAGAGAAAATTAAAGAAGGGTACATCTCTTCACTCCGAAGAGGCTGCTCGGGGCCCCCAGACCCAGGGGGCCCCCCTTCTGTCTTAATAGGGGCCCCCCCAACATACCCATTTCTCTGCTGACGATGCGTCAGGGGCCTCTCCGCGTCTGCAGCACGCAGCCCCTTTGCTGCTGCTGCTGCTGTTGCTGTTGCTGCTCCTCTTCCGGGGGCCCCTGCTTTGCTGCTGCGTTCTGCTGCAGCGTGAGGTGTGGGGCCCCCACCGCTGCTGTTCTGCAGCTGCCGCCGTAACGAGGGGCCCCCAGATGTAGAAGATGAGGGGCTTCCTTGGGGGCCCCCCTCTATTCTACTTGTCTCTCTCTTTCGTTTGCTGCTACGATTGACAGTGCGCCAGCTTGGAGACTCACGGGGCCCCCCAGGGGACCGGCGCCCAGCAGCAACAGCAGCAGCAGCAGCAGATGAGCGGGCGACCCGCTCCGCTGCTGTTGCTGCTGCTGCTCCCTTCTCCTCAGGCCTGCTGCTGCGGCTACAGGGGCCCCTGCTGCTCGTGGGGGTGCCGTGGGGCCCCCCATCGCATTCTGCTTTAACTCTTTTTGATGCCCCCGATGCTGCTGGGGCCCACCCTGCTGCTGCTGCTGCTGCTGCTGTTTCTTCCTGCCGCTTCTGAGCCCGCGAGCTACCGTGCCGCTGCTGCTGTTGCTGCTGCTGCTGCTGCTGTCGCTGCTGCGGGTATCTCAGTTGCCGCTGCTGCTGCTGCTGCTGCGGTTGAGGACAGTCTGCTAGAACTGCTCTGACTAGCCCTCTCAGCGTATCAGCTTCGGCATCAAGTTGTAGGGGCCCCACCGGGGGCCCCCCTAGGGGCCCCCCAAGCTCTTCTCCCTCTTTATTTGCATGCAACCTCTCAAAATTCCAGAGGAGACAGGACCCCAGTGCTTCTGTCTCTTCATCAATAACACTGAGCAATCTCCTATAAGGCAGTTCTCTTCTAATTCTCTTGAGGGGCCCCTCAACTACCCTCAACTCTCCCCCTACACAAACCACACATTCTTCTGGGGCCCCCTGCTGCTGCTGCTGCTGCTGCTGCTGCTGCTGTTGCTGCTCTTGGGGTCGGCCTTCCCCAAAGCAATCGAAGCTACTTTCTGCTGCTGGCAGTGAAGGAGCCCCTGGGGCCCCCTCAATAGGGGTAGGGGGGCCCCCTGTCTTAAGTTGGAGGGGCCCCGAGGGTACTATGGGGGCCCCCCCTATTTGAATAGAAGAAAGAGACGGCCTCCATCCTTCTTTAATCCAGGGCTGCAGCGCTGCACTCAGCTTCCCTGGTGGTAGGGGCCCCTCACTTGGGTGATGCAATATACAAGGAAGGGGGGGCCCCCCCCCTGTATCCTTCCAAAGCTGCTGCTGCTGCTGCTGCTGCTGCTGCTGCTGCTGCTGCTGCTGCTGCTGCTGGTGAGAAGAAGGGAGAGGGCCCAGGGGGCCCCCTATAATAGCAGCAAGAGGAAATCTTTGCTGTCGTCTCCATTGCTGCGCTCGTAAACACCAGCGCCCCTCAAGGAGGGCCCCCCAGTCAATCTCCGGCTGCAGCAGCCGCACTGCTGCTAAACAATTTGCTGCCTTTTGAAGATTTCGTGAAGATAACGCAAAATAAATTAAACAAAAAGGAGGGTAAGACTTCCACTCCCGAGCGGGGCTACGGGTCTTCTCGTCCCAGAGAGCTTCTGCTGCTGCTGCTCCTGATGAAGATGATGATGATGCTAGTGTATCGGTTAAAGGCACTGTCGCTGCTGCTGCTGCTGCTGCTGCGGCAGCGGCGGCTGCTGCAGAGTCTGCTGCGGCTGGAACCTCCTGCGGGGCCCCTTGGTAAGCAGCATTAGCAGCATTAGCAGCAGCAGCAGCTGCTGCTGCTGTTCCTCCGTCCCTGCGGCGCCTCCCTAGGGGGCCCCCCGGGGCCCCCACAAGGGTAAGGGCCCTCGGTACACTCCATAAGAAGTCTGCTGCCTGACGTTGAGGTGCAGCAAGAGATGAAGAGACAGTAGGAAAGTGCGCATGCAAATCATATTGCAGTTTATAAGCCCCGTGGTGAAGCAAAGAAGAGACAGACAGCAGACGAGACTTTCGAAAAGATATTATATACACCTGCACACACAAATGCAGCAGCAGCAGCAGCAGCAGCAGCAGCAGCAGCAAGTACAGCCGATGCAGCAACTACACACACGCATACACAAACAAACAGAAAGCAACGCAGCAGCAGCAGCAGCAGATTCGAGCAGCAGCAGCAGCAGCCTCACCTGGACATGGGTGATGCCTTTCTTAGACCAGCAGCCGTCGTAGCAGCGTACAGCAGCACCAGCAGATGCTGAGCGCCGCAACCCTCCTTCTTCTTCTTTAGCTTCCGGAAAAGAAGACAATTCCTTAGTATTGCCTGCTGCTGCTGCAGCAGCAGCTGCAGCAGCAGCAGCAGAGGGCGGAGGGCTGCTGTCTTTGTCTTTATCTGCTTCGTCTTCTGTGCTGCTGCCGCTGTTGCTGCCACCGCCTGCAGCAGCAGCAGCAGCTGCTGCTGCTGCTGGTGAGTTTGCTGCAGGTGCATCCCCATAGAAGACGCGGTGTACGACAACATCTTTCAGCAAATAAGGAGGCAGCAGCTGCTGCTGCTGCGGGTACTTGAGCCCAAGAGCAGCAGCAGAGACACAGAGGCAAGCCCCGGGGTATAGAGACCTTTCAATGCCTTCTGTCTTATTCACCAGCAAACCCTCCGCTGCTGCAGCAGCAGCAGCAGCAGCAACAGGGGCTCCACCTGTTGCAGCAGTAAGGGGGGCTTCTCCTGCTGCTGCAGAAGAGGGATCCCCTGCTGCAGCAGCAGCACCAGGGCCCTCCCCCGCTGCGGCAGCAGCAGGAAGAGGGTCCCCCCCTGCAGCAGCAGCAGCAGCAGCAGCAAGAGGGGGCCCCCCTGCAGCAGCACTGATTACCCGCGGCAGCAAACGCCAGCAGCGGGGAGCGGGAGAAGCAATCGGCACTTGCGGAGCGCAGAAATTGCAAATAGGGTACGCCTGCGGCTCCTGCAGCAGCAGCAGCAGCAGCAGCAGCAGCAGCAGCAGCAAATGAAGGAGCAGCAGCAGCAGATGCAATATATGCAGCAGCAAATGCATCAACAGCAAATGCAGCAGATGTATGCGTAGCAGCAGCAAGAACAGCAGCCCCAGCAACAAATCCAGCAGTACCACAGCAGCAGCAGTAAGGGCAGCAGCTGCAGCAGGCACAGCAGCAGCAGCAGGAACACCAGCAGCAGCGCTTGCTTCGGCAACACACAAAGCACATGCAACAACTCTAAACCCTAAACCCTAAACCCTAGGGTTTACCTTGAAGGCGGGTTTATCAGTGAAGCACTCCACCTTTGTCTTTATCTTTCTTCTGCTGCTGCTCTTCCGCTCTCTGCCTGCAGCCTCTTGAGTTGATGCTTTGTCTGCTGCTTCACCTGCTGCTGCTGCTGCTGTTGATTCAGCTTCTGCTGCTGCATCTGTTGCTGTTGCTGCTGCTGCTGCTGATTCGCTGGCCCGCATTTCTTCTGCTGCAGCCTCCCCCTCTTCACCTGCAATCCTACCCTTGCTGCCACTGCCACTGCTGCTGCCGTTGCTGCTGCTGCTGCTGCTGCTGCCGGCAAGGATTTGACAGAAGATAAACTCACTCCTGACTGCAACAATTTTAGCATCTAACCACCAAATGGCTTTGCGAGGGCCCAGCGGTACAGACACCTGAACGTCTAAACCTAAAAATAAATAAATAAATAAACAAATAAATAAATAAATAAATAAATTAATTAATTAATAAGAATAAAATAATAAAGAGTGAGGAAGAAAAGAATAATAAAAAGAAGAGCAACAGACACCCGAATATCCAAACCTACAAAATAAATAAATAAATAAATAAATAAAT